CCCCAAAACCCCAAAACCCCAAAACCCCAAAACCCCTAGCTATAAAGCCAGCCTGAAATTTAATCATTAATTTCTATTTTGTAGAAGACAATGGCTGGAGTTGTATTAGGAGTTTGAACTATTTATTCGGTTTGTTGATCTTTAAAACTTGCAATGAACAATAGCAATTCTGTACAAGACTGAAGAAATTGACCGGATGGTTCTGGAAAACTAGGAAATGATGTAGAAAAGAATGGAGCCCAAGGAGAAACAAACAAAGAAACCCAGTTAGGGAGAAAGCTGGTCGAGTTTATCAAAAGACAAAATGAAGAAAAGAGGGAGTTTAAACTCTGAAGAGGAATTCTCAATCCCAGCTTAGACTGATTCATGATTTCATCTATTCAGTGATTCCTTCAGTTGTTTGAATTTTGCAGAAATTTTTATATGAACGGTGATGATGGATGAGTTGGCAAAGACGAAGACATTAAGTATCCCTCTGAAAATATTTCAGATAAGTGCAAAATCTCCAAAGAACTCAAAAGGATAATAGATTGCTATTATTTGGAAGACAAGAAGTTTAGTTTGGAGCAATTTCGTCCTTTATATGATAAAGAATTCCCAAGAAGTAGCCAGCATGATGCATTGCAATTTATACTCTCTTTATTTGAGAATATTCAAAGCGAAATTAATGGAGACAAAGCTCATTTCCCTTCATCTGGATACAAAGATTGTAAAGAGGCTTGGGAACAATACCAGAAAACTCATACTTCGGCAATTGATAAGCTCTTTGTTGGCATGTACGAATCAATCTTCAAATGAGAGGAATGAAGCAAGGAGGTTAAAGTTTATGAAGAATTCAAGACTATTTCTCTTTATTGTAACCAAAGCGATCCAGAAGCTAGCTTCAAAGAGTTCCTTGAGCATCCAGAATCAACTGAATTTAGTCAGATGATGTGTCATGACTGCGAAAGCATCCAAAAATGCCAGATATCGAAGAAAATTGTGAAGTATCCGAAGTATATGATATTGGCTTTTCAAAGACTTGATCCAATAATTCAGACAAAAATAAATGGCAGAATGCATTACGAAGAGGAATTTACCAGACAATGTCCCCTAGTTGAGAAAGATCTAAAGTATAAGATTAATAGTGTTATCATCCATCGAGGAGAGATTAATTATGGCCACTACACAGCCATATGCAAGAGAGGAAGCGAGTGGGTATACTTTAACGATAGTCACTTTAAAGAAGTAGCTGAAATTATCAACGATGATGCATACATTTTATTCTATGAGACAGATGATATTGATGTAATGTAAACTTTCAATTATTCTGAGGACAATTGGGGTTTTGGGGTTTTGGGGTTTTGGGGTTTTGGGG